TTTGGAATTAAGCTTGTGCTAAACTTTAACAGTGTGGTTTTCTCCATAAATTGGTTTTGGCATTGGTTGGAAAATGTATTTTTAAAACTAGATTACTTGTAGAATTTTTATTAGCCATTATGGCACTTGCTAGTCCTTGATGTGATTCAGGAAGTTTAAAATGTTGTGAAGGAATCTTTGCAACTGGAATAATAATTCAGTAGACGATTTAACTTTTTTACATGAATAGTTGACTAATATGCTAACTAATTATTTCTCTTCTCAAACCACAGAAACCTATTATTACTCAGTTGGGTAGAAAAGGCTGTACTAAGAATTACTTTTATAAATGCTTATTCATTCTTTATAGTTGTTTCTATAGACTCAACATTTTTGTCCAGCTCCTGCCAGTCTGTATGCACATAGCTCCAGATCCAGCCAGACATATTCCATCTTCAGCTGGTGGCTGCCTGCAGTGTATGGTGGAGAGATACAGGTTTAGGGCTTGGAAGACGCTAGTCGCATGGAAATCAAAGCTCATAGTGTAACTTGATTTACTTGTTTAAGAACAATTCCTAAAAAGTATGATGGGCATTGAATTGTTAGTGAGGAATCGCACATTTAGAGGTGATGATGCAGACTCTTTGAATCAGGTCTAAAAAAATTAAGTCCTCAGCTGTACAGACAATTCACTAACTGAAGTCTTCACATGAACCATTTAAAAACAGTTAATAAACATTGTGTAATTGTGCTAATGCAACAGTAATCGCTGTTGTCAGTTTTTTGCTTTTGTGCCTTTAAGGAGAACAACTCAGAGTTCTTGGTGATGTAAATTCATTTAGAAACATTTTTGCCCTGTTTTTCTCATATGTAATGCTGTTAACAGTTGAAACATGAAGGTGTTGGGATTTGTTTGTTTGTTTTTCCAAAAAGTACTACTGAAGAAACCATTTTAGCAGCAACAGTTAAGAATATCATAGCCCTCAAGTAACATAAAAATATTTTACCTTGTTTGCATCAGTTATTTATTCTAAAGATATTTACTGATGAACAAGTCTGGAGTCTTTTTTTCAGTAAAATGTCTCCATTACTTCCCAAGCAGCTGCAATTTGACTAGTGAGAATGTATGCTGCTGAACGGTTTGTGGTTTGTTGCTTGTTTGTTTGTTTAATTAATGCGATATCTGCTAATAACCACACCAATTTATTTTTTTTTTGGAAGCATAAGATTTATTGTCTGTGAGAGCATCTCTGAACCTTTCTAAACTATTCTCTGTCCATAACAACTACCTATATTACTATGATTACCCTGGATAGTAAGGTGGAAATGTAAATTCTAATCTAATGCCATTTCTACCGCTGAAATAGAATTCTCCACTAAAAAGCAGAAAACAGTGAACATTATTTTGAAAAACTGAACATTGTTTTGAAATACTTAGAACAGACTAAAAAAGATGATGTGTATATACATTAATTGCAGATTATGAAGAAGTTCTTAAGTACATCCTTTCAGATTCTGCTGTAATTAACTTCCTAAAGTATTTCTTAGTTGCTTCTGCTAGCAGTGGCTAAGTCTAGTAATGATATTTCTGACTGAGTTTTGTCCCTGGGTCATGCTATATCACTTAACTGCTGTGCATGTAGTGGAGGACCTAAGTGCAGTACTGCGCTGCTAGAAAAATTAGCTGGCTGGTGTCCTGTTTGTGCCCTGAGCCTCCCCGCACCTCAGGTATCAAACTCCAAGGAAATTCTTCCTCCCGGTTCAAGGGAGGCTGCCTGACTATGCTTTTGCATGGTGCTGCTTCTTTCCTGAGTTTAGGATGGTTAAGGTTTGTTGTTTTGGTTTTGGGAGGGGTAGGGGAGGGGAGTTAAATACACTTCTCCATTTTCTCATTGTTGCATCTTGCATCATAGTTGGAGCTTAGTTTTTTCTTCTAGCAGAGTCAAAGTGTTATTTCCAGAGCCAGTTCTTCTCTGTAAGAAGATCAAATTAATACAAAAGAATTATGACTTCATGCTAAGAATTTTAGCAATTCACTTATTTGTAGGCTCATCTTTCATTTTGGGGAAGTCAGGTTAGAACTGAACAGCAGGAGAAGGTTAATGTGGGGACAGCAGAGAGAATTGGATTTTGGAGAAAGAGGGCAAGCCATTAAGGTAGATTTGTATTTACCATTCCTCTTCACCCTTATTTGAAAGGTGATTAATGAGATACAGTTACGTAGGTTTTCAACATCTGAAAGACATTTTGTTACACCATATAGTTCTCTGTTTTCTGTGAACAAGCCTATCACTGATGGTATGCTAAATAGGGAACAGAGAATGAACTTGGTGATTTGAAAAATGCACCTTGATCTTCAATTCAAGATCTGAAACTTCCCCTTAAACGTTGTGTGGTACCTTTAAAAAAACCAGCCTGGTATTCTTAATCTTTGGATTGCAGATGTAGTGGGAGATTTCTCTCAGTTCTGAGTGTTGAGAGATTTTATTCACAGGTTTAGTTACATTAACAGATGCTATGCGAATAGAAGTGAAGTAATTATATTTGTTTTGACATGCAGCTGCTTGCTCACTGGAATGCGTCCGTTCCTTTCAATTCTTGTGCAAAAGTGGGTTACTTGAAGTTTGGCTACAACCCTAGCAGATGCTGATGTGGCAACCCGGACCAAACATTCTTTCCTGCTTCTGTCAGCACTGCGCATTCTTTGTTTAAAGGTCAAAGTAACTTAACTAGTAAGGCTGATTAATGCAGATGTGGAATATGTGAACTCAGTGTACTTTTGGTTGCACCCGCTTTGCACCCACAGTAAAAGTTTCTTTTTGAATCGATGAATTTGACGTAATCACAGGCAATGAGTTACAATGCTGACATTTTTGAGTTTCTGTCATGATGATAGTGCCTCAATGGAAAAAGATAAACTTTGCAGATGGTAACAAATTTGCTGCAACTAGCTCATGAAACTGAAAATATTCAAATATTCTTGCAAACTATTTTTATCGAAGATGTTTAAAGAAAAAGAAGCCTGCCCACATGGAGACCTGAAATTTCTCTTCCAGCAAAAGATGTCATTTAAACCGTGTTGTTCCCATTCTGGCTTTAGAGTTTGTGCTGTGCAGAAACACTGTGTTTATACTTGGTTATGTACCTCAATCAGTTACAACAAGCATGTTATGCCTGCGTTGTGTTTTACTTACATAACAGTAATGTTTATGCATTACACAACCCTTTTCTCTCAATTTTCGTTGTTTGCTTACAAGATTCAGTTGTTGGTTCTTGGTAACCCAGAGTCATTTCGTCTTGCTTGGGAGTGTACTGTCTGGACCTGTGTGTCCACCTGAGCTGAAAGGCATGTCTCCAAACACCTGGGATTTTGAAAGTGTTTCTCCAGCCCCCAGGGTGTTGCATTGCAGATAGTGACATAGAGGTTTGAAGGAATTTATCCTGTTTTTTTTTTTTTTAATCTTGAAAGCCCTGACTCTAAAAGATACCAGGCCAAATCAGATGGATTTGGCTTCATGAACTTAAGGAAACACAGGCTCATTTGCTGTTTAAAAAAACCCACAGCAGCCTCACAACACTAGTATTAACTAGTTCCCAAGACAGCTGTATTTTGTAATTAATTTTCTTTTGAAATACAAAACAAACATTTTAATAATTTAATGTTTATACAAGTTACCATCTGTGGATGTTAGATTAACTTTACAGTAATTTTTCTCATTTTTTGCTATAATCCTTGATCGTCTCCACAGTTTTGTTCTGGAAAGATGTTACTGCTTCCATCTGCTAACTCCAGAATGTCAAAAGTTGCCTTGGCCTTACCTTAGCTAGCATCTATCTTTGCCCTTCCTGCATAAGAAAAGGTGTAGTATCCATCAAAGAATAAAGATAGGAATTTTGTGTTTTGCTATAAAATGGTAATGGAATTAAGGCACTTGATATCAACTGAGGCAGGAAAGAGATTGAGGTATCCTTGTGGTGTCAAACTTACCTAAAACTGCAGCTGTTGTGGTTTCTGCCATGTCTGCGGCCATTGTATTGGCTACTCTGGTGTAGAATAAAGGAAGTGTTTTGTCAGTTAAAATCCAGGTAAAGATTAGATAGATTTGTGTATTTCTCTAGTATAATTTCATTAGTCAGAAACAATAAACTCTAACTTGTGTGCAATGGTCATGACATAATGCTCATGATGTGGATGAGCTGGATGACGTGTTACAATACAAGTAGGTCACTTTTCATTTTAAAAAAAAAGTTCATGAGATGCATGGCATATCTGATAACCCAGACAAATAAGGAATACTTTAATGATACTGTGTTGACTTTTAAAATAACTGCATTTCATTAGAGAATGAAATGTGAAATTTGAATGAGGAAAATAAAATTTGAAAGCTTTCTACATCTAAAAGTTGATACTGGGTAATGGTCTGTTTAAAGGAGGAGAATTAATGCTCGATCATCTCTTTTCTTAGTAGGTCTTAGGTTTATTGTTAATTTGCTGTAGGGAGATATATTTTATGAATTACTGCAATAAATGTCTACCTGTCGGGTTATGCGTGCTGAATTAATACTATAAATGTTGATCTTGCAAAAGGAACTGAAGAAACATGAACGTTCTACAGTTTATAATATCTGTAAGGCATCTTGGCAAAGAATGAATTGGAGATACCTAAAAATTCAACATATATTTAATTGATGGAAACAGTTTAATACCATTTTATTGAATCAGAATTTGCATTCATGTGTATCACATTTTAGGATTATTAAGATGGACTACACAACTATCGTAATGTTCACTATCTGTTTGTTGTCTTATTTTGCTTACATACTCATGATATGACAGACTAAACTTTTTTGCACTAACATTGTGTCCCAGATATTAAGTGCTGCTTGTGGCAGGTTGCACTTGAGTTTCTGATGTGTATATATATATAGGGGGGAAAAACTCCACAGGAATTTAAGTCAGTAACTCTTACCTCTTTTGAGGGACATCTTGTTTCAATTGCAGTATTTTTCTCTTGTTTTAGAGGAAGCCCACATCTGAAGGGAACCCCACATTATAAGGAAGAACAATGTGCTCCTTCATTAAATCTAGAAATGAAGAAAGTACTGGACTTGCAAGCCTCTATCACAAGGTATGCTCACTAATCATGCGTCAGGGGAGGTTCAGGCTGGACATTAGAAAGAACTTCTTCACTGTTAGAGTCGTTAGGCATTGGAACAGGCTCCCTAGGGAGGTGGTGGAGTCATCGTCCCTGGAGACGTTCAAAAAACGTCTAGATGTGGCACTTCAAGACATGGTTTAGTTGACAGGGTGGCATCAGGTGTACGGTTGGACTTGATGATCTTTGAGGTCTCTTCCAACCATAATGATTCTATGATTCTATGATTCTAAGAATTTTTCTGCATATAGCCATTCCTTGTTAAAAAGTGAAGGGGAAACTGGATGGAAAAAACTTCTAGTAAATTTTTAGACTTACTAATAGTAAGGACTAATAGTTACTAATAGCAAGTTACTGTTAGTAAGTCTAAGGAGGTGAAAAAGTAAATTACTATTTAAGAATTCTTATTTTCTGTACGTGGCTATACTGATATTTTTGGCATATACAAGTATATAGCACATGTATGTTCAGTATTACATTATGTTACTATAAATGTGTTTGTCCTTGGTCTCAAAGTATGGATTATAGATTTCATGGAGACATAGGTACATGGGAGTGAAACTGTATGTAACATTTCAACATCTCTCCAGCTGCCTGCAGAGGGTCCCTGTTTGTCCTGGAAAAACAACTTGTTTTCTTCTTCCTTTTTTTGTGGTGATTGCCTTCCCTATAAATAAGCTTTGAACATGCTAAATAAGCGTGTGAGAAAAGTTGGTGAAACTGTATAGCATTGGGATGGGGTGGAAAAGTAACAAGTGCAATTTGGGAAGAGGCCCCGTAGGAGACAATGAATGTTGGAAGAAATGCAGTATCTACTGGAAAAAGCTGTCCTGGGAAGCTGCAGGTCGTTATCTGCATGCAAATAGATTAACGATAGTTTTCAGAATTTTGGAGATGTTTGGGGAAGGATTTAGGAGAAGTCTAATTTCTGCTTCATCAGTGAGCTTTTAGAATAGGATTAGAAAGTGTGGTGGACTATTTAGAGCCTAGGCAATATTGGTAATTTTCTGGGATAGACGAATAATTGGTTGTTGGCAGCAATGTCTTATGTTTAGTCAAAAGTATTAAAATGAACTTCAGCAGTTCATAGACCAGTTAAACAATTACTGTAACAATACAGACCTGTTCATGAACTCTTGTTCCTGGAGAAAGAGTCATATACCATATTTTGTCAGCTTGCTACCTTTACTGTCTAGAGGACTTAGGCACTTAGTTTGTAACTTGTTTGATGTAACTTCTCAACATAGTTGCTGATACAAGAGGCAGTAATACAGTGTTTATTACATTAATTGATTTTTTTTTTCTGTGATGTTGATTTGAGATGCAGTTTTTTAGAGAATGACAAATACATTTGTTAGTTTGCAGTCCATGTTAGAGGATCTACTTGTTGCTACGGCTGATGGATTTCTTCATCTCGTTCACTGGGATGGTATGACCAATGGAAGGAAGGCCATCAACCTATGTACAGTTCCATTTTCTGTTGATCTGCAGTCTTCTCGAGGTAGGTTTTGAGGTTTTATATTGCTTATGATAGTTAACTGTTGGTGAAATACCATCTAATATAAAATATTATCTCTGTTCTAAAGCAAAGATGAGAAAAATGTACCTTTTGTAAATGTGAATAATATAGCCTGTGTAAATTGTTTTTTTCTGTGAAGTAACAAGTAAACAACTGAAAAGTCTGTTCATATATTTTCTCAGCAGGTTCATTTTTGGGCTTTGAAGATGTTTACATCAGAGATATGGAATACTGTGCTACGCTTGATGGTTTTGCAGTTGTTTTTAATGATGGCAGAGTTGGTTTCATTACACCAATGTCGAGTAGATTCTCTGCTGAGGTATATTTCCTTTAGTATTTCTAGCATGCACTCTACAATAAATGTGTTTCACTTGGTCTCTGCAGTATAGTTAGCTTTCTACTTTAAATTCTGTTCAGCTGCAAAGAAGTGAAAATTTAGCAACAGCTTAAGAGGTAACATAAGAACAAGACTTTATTTCATACCATAATTTGAACTATTTTGTTCTAGGACTAGTACATTTCTATGGGAGAGCATAGTTGATAATAAACTTAATTTTTGTTCACTGCTTCAAAATGTCATTGTAGTTCTAAAGTCTTCGTACTGTCTCTGCGACAGAATTCCAGTTGTTAGTTATAAGTGGGGTGATAATAAGTGGGTTTTCCTTTGGCAAAGTATCATAGGTGCTATTTCTGGCTTTTAAACCATAATCCAATCTAACTCTTCTCATAATGACAAGCATACTTCAGAATTTCTTTTAAAGGAATCTTTTCCAAGTTAGGTGTTTTCTTACCTGTAATTCAGCCTACAAACTGTACTTTTGTCATTAGATGTCTTTAATTACAGATAACCCGGAAAGACTTGTGTAGTCTGTCCCAAACTCCTTCAGATACTTACAATATCTGTGATTTCAGCTGTTGCAGATCAACATTTATTTTCCTGTTTTGTGTCTAGTCTTCATCCTTAGTACCATCTACTGATTTTTTTTTTTTTTTTTTTTTTATGCAGTATTAGGGATATTCTTGCCTTATAGGTATTGACTTGCTGTAGTTATTCAGAGCTGTGAGAAATGGTTTCCTTACATACTGGCATCTTTCTGTAATTTTTATTAAGAACAATGAAAACAGTTTTACATATACTGGATTTTGTTTATCTGAGCCATGTCAGTTAATCTTGATATTTGCAACAGAAGTTTCCTGAAGTGATGAATGTCAACTGGCAGATCTGTAACATGGGTAGAAGCTGACTATCATGAATAAAAACACTGTTTAACCAAAAATTCTGTGGATTCCTTTCTTTACAGCAGCTCCATGGTGTGTGGGCACAAGATGTGATTGATGGAACTTGCGTGGCAGTAAATAACAAATACAGGCTAATGGCATTTGGATGTGCCAAGTAAGTTTTGTGAGGTTGGTTCGATGTGGAGGGGAAATTATTTCATTATGAAACTTAAGTACTAGTTTCTTCTTAGCAAGTTGTGTTGCAAGAGCTGTAAAGAAGAAATGATCAGTCTTCTAGAGATTGTATAATCTGCTCTGTCAAGAAGGTAGGAGGGAAGAGGAAAGAAATAATGCCTGCTTGAACTGCAATTGAAATTGATGCTTGCTGTTTAGCTCTGGAAAAACATAAAAAGGTGGCTGGGCCAGTTGCAAGGATTGGAAAGTGCTGCTGTCCAGTTAATCTCAAAGCAGGATTATAAAGTTAGTTTTAAGCAGTTAATCATAGTAATACTGGACAAGAATCGGCACTTCGTGCCCAACTGAGAACGTGCTCTGTGAAGCCTTGAGTTGGTCAGGAAAGTGTTGCGTGTTTGAGTAACTGTGAATATTTATAAATTAAATATTGCAAAAGTGCTTTTAGTTGTGTTTTACTTGCTGCTCTTTCAAGACAGTTCTTCCTGTATAATACTGCTTTCACTGGACTACAGTGCAGTTTGTTTTTTTCTTTTAAATTGTATTTTATTTTTGTGTTAGAGCATTTCAAATGATCTGGGTAGTTTAGTCTTCAGCTGTCTTTTTAAAAAATAGTATTCTCAGTTGTAGTAACAATGCAGTGTGTTGGTGTTTGTCTCTGAAACAGGAATAGTTACTATAATTCATTGATCTTGGTATGCAGTAGTACATTCCTGATGAAACTTTCGCACTGAGTGAACACTGACTTCACTGATGGATTGTGTTGCAGTTGAAAACCATAAATACATGTGAATGTGTGTGCATGTGTATTTTCAGAGAATGAAATAGTCTCAGTGCATTTGTTATCATAGGGCGGGTGTTTTGGGTCCTCCACTGCCTTCTGGAAAGTGTCTTATCTATACATTTTTTGAGTGTTACTTGACACAATGTTTCTGTTCTAGGTAAATTTGTTATTGGTGAGAAAAAAGCAGCTTTTATTAACCTCTTTAAACTAATGAGAAATCCAAATGGTCTGTACTCTAAAACGTGTCATCTCTTCCAGCGGCTCTGTGCAGGTTTATACAATAGATACCACCACTGGCACCATGCAGTTTTCTCATAAATTGGAGCTGACACCAAAACAATATCCTGGTGAGCTACTTCTATTGCTAGAATTTTCCACCTGATTTTAGGGTATCGAAGAATATTTTTATCCTTGGCTAGTTAATAACTATTTGTTGTTTGCATTATTGCTGGTGGGATTAGTATTTACTCTTGCATGTTTGTAGTAATTTACCCTTGCGCATTTGTTCTTTTAGCTGCTTGCTTTTAACTGACTTTTTGATGTGTATATGTGAGGGGTGAGGGCTGAGGGTCTGGGGTTGGTGGGTTAGGTTTTTTTGTTTGTTTGGGTTTGTTTGGTTGGTTTGTTTCGTTTTTTAACTAAATCTGAATCTGAGTTAGTGGTTTACAGACAGTGCTGCTTCCGATTGTTCCTTTTTAAATGCTGCAGATCTTAGTACATGTAGTCCTGAGATTACTTTTCCAATACTCACCTGAGAAAATGAGATATTATTGTCAAAACTGAAAATGACTATAATAGAGGTGTGAATTAACTTGAAACAACTGACATGTAGGGTACAGAAAAAACTGAGTAATCCAGCACCCTGCCTGAACTGCAGTGAACAAAAGCTCACTGGAATTTTCCATGTAGTAATGATGAGAACTGTAGGCTTTAGAATGAGGGACATACAAAGTGGGTAAATTGCGTTCTCAACTGAAAATGTATGTGCCTATTAGGTTTCAACAAAAAATCAAATCTGTAGATAACAGTTTTACAGTTATGCTAAGTGCCAAAGGAAGAGGTTCCAGGGGTGAATATAAAATCTTCTTTTGTCCTAAAAATTATGTTACTAGAATTGCAGTTCTATGGTTGTGTCATATGCATTTCTGGTCTGTTTTCGTGTATTCTTAGTTTCCTAAGAAACCAAACGTATTGGAAAGAAAATATGAATTTTTAATTTGATGCTTATTCATTTTGAGATGATCAGTTTGATGAATGCAGCAAAGAAGTTACTTGAAAAATCAAATACTTATTTCCATATATTTTTGTTTCTACTCTTATGGTGAAAGCAGTTGAAGGACATTTGGTGTTTTTCACATGGTATTTTATTGTCTGTTTCTAAACAGATATTTGGAATAAAACAGGACCTGTTAAACTAATCAGATGGTCACCTGATAGCTGCGTTGTGATGGTGACCTGGGAATGTGGAGGCTTGTCCTTATGGAGTGTTTTTGGTGCTCAGCTTATCTGTACCTTAGGAGGTGATTTTGCGTGAGTATCTTTAATGAAATTGTAAAATGTTTTATTAAAACCTTTATTTTTCTAATTAAAAGCATTTAATTAGAAACTAATTTGCTGAATTAGCTTTTAAAAATATTTTTCCATTATAATTCCTTAGATATTGGAATCATTGAGTAATATTTAGGAGGGGATCATTTGAGTATAAATGAGAATCTCTTGTTTTCTTTTCATAGTAGTCTTTTTGACTGTAAAAGCAAATTACTCTAAAGGCAGGCTTTAGCAGGCAAATATTAAAAATCCCTCAGTGCCAGTATATATTTGCTGTTCATGTGCTAACATCCAGAAATCACAATTCAAACATTTTATACTAGACATCTGACAATTGCATTGCCTTTTATGCAGTATCATGGATCAAACGGGCTTTATAGTTTGAGGTTAGGTTCAATATAGAACCATATGACAATACCAAGATAGGGAGATAATTTCTTATTTTGATGAAGTTATTTCCAAACTCAGACTTGTTCTGTTCTGTTTTTAAGCTATCAGTCTGATGGTGCCAAGAAGGACCCTCTAAAGATCAGTTCTATGGTAAATATGAATGTAAAAATACTGTAATAGAATGGCTATTAATTTTTTAAATTACTTTTAGTAAAACAGATTTTCAGAAAATCAAACTGGCTTTCTTTAGATGCCTTTACTTCCTAACACTGGTGTTGTATTGAAGGAAGAGGAAAACGAGGACAGCTGATGATTTATTTTTTTTTTTCATGTATATATCTGGTCATGAAGTGTGCATAACATGCCTTTTCTTGGCTTTGCTTTTGATATTAAGAATGAACACTTTTGGTTTCGCTTAATTTTAATTTGGTGCTGTATTTCAGAGTACAGTGAGACACTGAACAACAGTAATTGTAAACTTACTTATTTCCCTAAATTTGCTACCTTACCTTTGGCTGTTGAAGTAGCTTAACTCAGAATATGCATTTGAGAGAAACTTAACTGCTGTTGTTTTAATACAAACTAATTAACATGAAGTCCTGCTACTCTGTCAAATCAGTACATGTTGATAAATATCAAAGACAATCTTCAGGGCCTTTTGTACAGAATTCATCATAGTTTGTAAAATACTTCTAAAACATTTGACTTTATGTATCATTTAGTTGCTATGAAGATTGACAATTTCAAACATGCATCCCAAATGGATGTACATATTTGCAAGGACAGTACAATGTACCTTTTAAAAAAAACCCAAAGATTGAAATTCTGATACTGTTGAATTTAATGAACAACAACCAATGTAATTTTGAGTATCAGGACTTTTTTCGTACCTGATTCTGTTGCGGATTTTTTGTTAGGTGCTTTAAGCTGCAAACTAAACAGTCTTCATTACTTGTGTGGATGTCTTGCATAGTTATTTTTCATTTAATCAACATTTTTTACATAAGAAAACAATTTAAGCTGGATTCGTACTGTTCCTTGTGGATTTTACTGCTATGGGTTACTAATGATTCCTATGATGATACATTTTAGAACACCAAACTGTGTTTTCTTACCAGGCTCATGTCTATCATCAGATCAGTTACACTAAGTTTCTGTAGTTCTCATTTTCTGAGAATATATAGTGTTGATTCGGGGGTTTTATTATAGTTATTCTTTTCCATTCAGACCTGGGGATCAGAAGGGTATCATCTGTGGGTTATTGATGGGAATTCTTCAAAGACGAAACCTGAAAGAGATGCAAATGATAAAGCTCGCCAGTTTGGTATTCTGCAGTTTCACTTCATCAAGAGTGCACTCACTGTTAATCCTTGTATGGTAAGTTTTTTGTTGATAAATACATCCTTATTTTAGAGAATATTTCCAGTTTTCAGGTGACCTCTGAGTTATTCTCTTAACAGGTTTTAAGGCTGTTTAGCAGCTGTTAGACTGGTCTTCCTTTTTTTGTCATAAAGCCTTTAAAATGGTACTTTGAAAATACTGCTATGCAAAACTGTAACATAAAACCTACTAGTACATAGTGATGCAAAAACTGAGAACTGCCTTAATGCTTATTTTTCATACTGTTTACATAGAACCTGTTAATACATTGATCATGTGTTTTCCTTTGTTTTCTGTACATGGAGTTCAAGATTGTTTTTGGGCTTGTTTTGTTTTGTTTTTAATGTAGAGTAACCAGGAACAAGTCCTCCTCCAAGGAGAAGATCGCTTGTATTTGAACTGTGGAGATGCAACACAGGCTCAGAGTCCCAGAAATACTTCAGCACACTCTGAACATAAGCCTGCCAGGGAGAGAGGCCCGTTTTCAGATGGCAGTTTAGATTCTCAGGGTTTAAGCACTTTACTAGGACACAGGCATTGGCACGTTGTACAGGTAATTGTTGCTGATTGCCCGTATGTGCTCTGTGCTTGCGAAGAGTTTATAGGGCTGGAATTTGCAACTGATCTCATCACTCTCTGCTATACCCGTTCCCTCTCCTCTGTAGTGTGAGATCAGTGCCCTTTTATTGTCTGTTGGGTTTCCCCTGGTACAACATTCTTTTATTGCCAAATGGTAAAGGAACGTTGACCATCTCAGCCTTGTGGCTATGAGTTTGCATCCTAGCCAATGGAAAAATCTAAATGTCTTTTTGACTTCAGGAAGGGGTAGTTAAATTACTTTCCTATGCTTTGGAAGGGTGAATAAGTGCAACATGCAGGAAATCGTTTAGGGATTTTTTTCTGTTATTTATGCAAATTGCTTTAAGTATATTCAACTGATGAAGACAGCCTTTGGACTTTGGCTGCATTTTCAAGCAGTCTTAGATGGCATCTTTTTAAGCATGTAATTAAAACTTCACAGTATCAAGTTCGTGAAGATGAAATTATCTCCAGGGGTAGTAATGGAACAGATTCTACTTTCTCTGTAATGTAGAAGAAAAATTAAATAACTTTTAATCTGTAATTCTAGTGTGTGTTCTTCCACACTTGAATCGGTAGATATTTTTCTAAATAAAGGTTTCTGAAGGGTCCCCAAGATTTTGTTTTTCACATTGTACGTGAATCGGTATTACTAAACAGCATTTGACTCTAGGCCTGTATGTCAGGTTCTAGATACTGTTGAATTTCCACTTTAGCTGGCCAGGTAGCTCTTCTGTCTTTTAAAACTGGCATAAGAGGGGACAGTCCTCATTCTGTGAAGGAGTAAAACTAACACAATTGGAATTACTGTGGGGAGCAACATACCCATGAGAACAGCCAGTGGCTGGGTAATGAGATCACCTACCTGCCTTGTATCAGACTAAGAACTGGAGTTTGAACCTTGATTTGTATCATCCCATGTAACATGAAGAATCCAGGATCAAGATTTAATTTGATATATCCCAGTCAAGTGCTTTCATAATAAGGCTTTTGGATATGCTGGTGTGTATTTCTGATAACATTAGAAATCTCATCCCAACACTGAAAGTCCCTCCTGAATGCTGTGTTTATTGAAACTTGTATGTTCCCATGGAGGAGAAGTACCTAGAGGGGAGAAGAGAAAATTTTGGCTATTAATCTATAATATAATATTAGCTATTGTGTGTTGTTAATGCATTTCTGTATTTCTTGTGTTAAAAACAGGCTAACATATATGCTTCAGTATCTTTTGGGAGCAGGGGGAATTAATGGTATTTTAAAAAGAAATCCCAACATTAGAAACTTTTAAGCCACTGTTTTGGAAAAACATGGACATTTTACAAATTCCTGTAGAGCATTATAATTAATCACTACTGTAATGGTGCTTGGTACAGTTACATGGTTTTGGCTTTCTCTTTTTTTTCCTTTTGTTTTTTTTAGATTCATAGTACGTATCTAGACAGCAACTGGCCTATAAGGGTGAGTTATTTTAAGAATATGGTCTTGCTTCTTTAAAAGTATTGGTCTTTTATAACTGTCCCTTAGGACTGGATGAGCTCTGGAAGATGAAATTATTGTTTTAAATTACAGAAAGAAGAATATGTGTTGAGCTGTAAAGTAGAAAACATGAAGATACTTCACAAGTTTTTGTTCTGACATTATATTGCTTTGTAGTGATGTGCTTGGATAGGATATATCATGTAAATAAGTTCCCTCCTTAGGTTCTGGGTTTTTTCTCTTTGAACAGTTTTCAGCTATTGACAAGCTTGGACAGAATGTAGCTGTTGTTGGCAAGTTTGGTTTTGCACATTATTCTTTACTTACCAAAAAATGGAAGCTGTTTGGAAACATTACCCAGGTGAGATGTTATGGTACTTTATTCAGGTATACTGGAGAGGTTGCATTTGTTGGAGTGTGACTCTTGGAGAAAACTAAAAGAATATATTTTTTCAAATAACCTGTAGACACACTTGGGATTAGGGATACTGGTTTTGCATGTGCTTTTCATAAAATGGCTGAAAGACTTATCTTGTGGCTTTGGCACAATGATTTGTGTCTCATTATTAAAAGATTTCAAATTCTGAGTGTGTATAGTCAGACACCTGCTCCCGTATATCTTATCTGAGAGTTTGTGCGAGATGTAGCTTTGGATGCCAAGCTTGTAAATTCTGTCCAGAAGCAGAAGGCTGATTTGAGAGAGTTCAGGGATGCCAGTAGCATAAGGAACTGTGGAGCTGTGTTTTGTAAGACGATGTTTGTCTTTTGCATATTATTCTTTAGTACTTAGTTTTTTAAAACAACAAAAACTTCATATACGTAGATTGTCTTGCCACTATCAGTAACGCTCATGGAGACCATACATGGCTTTAAGAAATTACCCATAGAATGTACGTGTGTGTGTATAAGTATATAAAAATACATATGTATATGTCATTTGCGTGCTTTTTTCATTTCAGGAGCAAAATATGATGATAACAGGTGGCTTAGCATGGTGGAATGACTTCATTGTTCTTGCATGTTATAATTTAAATGATCATCAGGAAGAGGTGAGGTATTTTTTTTCAAAGTAAAGAAATCATGTTTAGAATACCTGATATGTGCTACAGTAGTATTATAAAGATGAAAAATTTGATATGTAGGTGGCTTTTGTCATGTTCAGAAATTCTTTATTAATATCTAAATAATTCTTTGCAGAAAAATTTATTATTGCTATTAAAAACTATTTTCTGCTTACTACTATGAATCTACTCATTGTTCTGAAAACTGTGACATTTTTGCATGTCAGCATGAAGCCTGTTTTGAGGTATCTAGTTACAGTATTTTGGGACACTTTTGTAAGATTTTAAATTATATGGTCAGAAGAGCTTTACTTACTCTTTGCTTTTTAAAACTAATGAATAAAACTCCTTCCTTGTGATTATTGTTCAGTACTTCAGATTTGGCTATACTGTTCTTTAACCACTTTATAATATATTGTAATGGATAAAACATTTGACGAAACAAAACCCAGTAATGTGTCTTGCTAGAAATCTTTGGCAGCCATTCCACAAAAAAGAAAATAAATGAAGGTTGTGGTAAACAGAACCTGTATTGAAAGTACTCCTTTTCCTTGTAGCTGAGAATCTACCTGCGAACGTCTAATCTTGACAATGCATTTGCACAGATCACCAAAGTGCAAGCAGACACGTTACTACTGAGTGTCTTCCGGGACATTGTCATATTGTTCAGAGCAGATTGTTCCATTTGCCTTTACAGTATTGAGAGAAGGCCTGAAGGGTGAGTATCAGTATTTAAATGCTTTTGCAGTAACGTACTTGTAAATCTCTTCTCAGTCTGAGTAAATTCTTACAATAATATAAAGTTGTTTGGTAACTTGTAAGTCAGATTTTTAAAATATAGGGGGTTAAGTGTTATCTGTATGCACAAGTGGTAGTTCATGAGTGTTGTCCCTTGCATGCATACAGTGGAGTAGTGACTGAGGTATGTGCATTTCTAGCTGTCTGTACGAGCATGTTCTAGTTGATAGGAACTTGAAAACTGAACATAAATAGAAGAAAAATGTACTAAAAGGCACCCACATACTTGAATATTTTTAATAAAAACTATTTCTAACATTAGAAGTAGGAATTGGTGAGGGTGGCAGAGAAGTAACAAAGATGAAGAGAAAAAAAGTTTGGTCTGTGGTGTGGTTGTAGGGAGCTATTTTCGTGCTAAATAAGTAGCAACATAAGAGGCAGATACTTTCAGACTTACAAGAATAGTGAACCTAAGGAGGATATAGATTCCCAGGTAGTTTTTAGAAGTGCCTAAGCAGGTGATTTTTCTTACAGTTATGGCATCTTGGTTTCAGCAAGAAGGGACCTTTTTTTCTTTTAACAGAAAGCAAGCTGTTGATTGATCCACTTTAGAGGAAAATATTTTCAGTGCTTTTCAAAGAAAACTCCAACAAAATCCAACCCTGGAATTGTCCTATTGAAGAGTGAATAGAGTCTTATCCTGAAGTATCTGTTGTTGTCTTCTGTCCACTTATAACTATATTCTCCAAAACTAGCAGGATAAAGTAGTCCAGCTTAGGTTTATTTCGTAACTTTATGTAGAGTAGATATGTGGGCCTGTGGGATTCCTGGTCAAAGGAAAGTCCATTTGGTCTGTAAAGTAAAATGTTTGCAGAGGTTAAGTTGCTTATTTTCATGAGGTTTACTTCAAGATACTAATTTCATGTTAAATACTGTTTTAAAAATGCTAAACATAGTTATCTTTCCTTTCAGTCTTAACCCTACTGCCAGTATCCAAGTTCTTCAAGAAGTGTCCATGTCTCGGTACATTCCTCATCCTTTTCTTGTAGTGTCTGTTACATTGACATCAGTGAGGACAGAGACTGGCATCACCTTGAAGATGCCTCAACAGGTAACAGGTCTATAGTGCTCAAAACTTAAAAGAATCAGTGCCTGGATTTGTTAGCTTAGTCCTCAAAGGTTACTTGGCTGATAATCAGAAATCAGTGGTTCATCTAAGTTGTAAAATGCAGAACATGTTTTTTCTGATGCTTGTTATAGAGACATTTTATGTGTGAATTGGAGGTGGGGGCTGGAAATAAAATCCAAACTCTTACTTTTATTTCATGTCTTCTCTTGTCGTCTTACAAAGTTTGGGGCCAGATCTTGGAGGACAAATTAAACTTAACTATTGCAAGGGTATGTTTCTCTATTGTGTATTAAAAATTGAACACCAGAGCACTTCATGGCATTAGGAAGTGCCTTTCTTGCAGCAACAGGTCCATTACTCAAAGAATAAACAGAAAAAATGAAAAGATGGCATATGACCCTATAATGTTACTTCTAGTCAATTTCCTACCATGCTAAAGTAAAGTAAGATAATCTCTCCCACTAGTTATGCCAGGAGATAGGCCAATAGCCAAACAGTGACTAAGGTATGAAGGTGAAGCCATGTCTTAACTCCAGGAAATGATTCAGGTCCCTGAAAATGCAGTACAAAGAGAACTTGGATTTTTGTTGTCTGTGGTGTAAACAAATTAAGCTTAACTGTTTGAGTAGCTGCAATATGAAGCGTGTTTTCTCATCAGAGCAGCTACCTTAAGATAGTTCAGAAATTGCATTGTCTGTGAGGCAGGCCCACAGTCTGTATTTTTCTCCATATACCAAAGCCACTGGCAGACAGGAAAGCAATGGCACAGATGTAAAATCTGAAGGTTTGCACTTGCTTCCTTTAGTTCATTTTAACTTAGTGTCCCACAATTCTGAACATGTGTCCTGAGACTTTGGTACGATCTTAGACAGGGCATAAAAGGCAACATGCTTGTGGTTTCCTAGTCCGTCTTGCCATGAGACAGTGTCCTTATTCCTGAACTACCTGACCTGTGGTGTTTCCTAATTTTGAGAAAAAGCTACTCAGACTTTTTAGAGCACTGGTAATATTTTACACTTAGCTTCAGACTGAACAAATACTACCCTTTTTCTTTCTAACTAAGCTCATATCTTCAAACTTTGTCAGTCCTCCTGATCAAAAGAAAAGTATTAATGTTGCACTAAATATGACACTGTAGACAGAGCAATGTGTCTGATTTAGCGGAGTGTGTCAGCTTTTTCAGTGTTGTAACCTATTAGTGACCTTAACACCTGATGCTGCAAATTTACCATACAGGCCCTCTACCCATGTATTTTAAATCTAAACTTCATGAACAGCATGGTATTAGCTCCAGCGACTTGGCTTAAAGTTAACATGAAACAGTTCTGAAATAAATCTTTAGAAAGAATACTTTGCTTTCTTTACCTAACTAGAAAGATTTTTTTCCAACTACAGCTTCTAAAAGTTCAAGATGCTGTACAAGTGTAGCTAAACTCTTTTTGGCTCAACTCCTTTTGGTTTGTCTATCAGTGTTAGTCTTTGCAGTCAGATACTGGCAGTCATATAGTGGTGATACTGATAAGAATACAGAGCTTTTTTTTTTTCTTAAAATACTGGTGGCTTGCCTGTGCCAAAAGACATAGTTGAAAAAAACCCATACCGAATTAGCATGTGGAATGAGTCTAGTGAACAAGAAACCTTCCAGTATTTACTCCTTTGCAGAAGACTACATAAATGAATGTATCTGTAGGTACTTAGTTCTACTTGATTTTTCTGAGTCCTTCTGCATTGAATTTGGTTGTTAGTCATCTCTGTATGGCAGTGCAGTTAATTTACTCTTCTTATTTTGGGTCTGTACTGTGATTATGGGTAGAATGATGCATTCAGAAAGCTTAAGTAATTTGCATAATTATCTTGTATCTTTTAGGCTTGTGAGGCTGAAAGTATTATGCTAAACTTAGCTGGACAACTCATCATGTTGCAGAGGGATCGATCTGGACCCCAGATACGAGATAAGGATAATAATCCTAATCAAAGGAAGCATGTGAGTAAATATATGTGGAATATTGTATATGGCCTCAAAGATGTTGTCAGTGACTGAAGCAGTTGTAGAAGGGAGTGGTGCAGGCATAAAGAAAGCAGGTCTATAATGCAAGGCAGTGTCTACGCTTACAGGCTGAATTGTTAACTGGAAGTAAATCAGTACTCCTGTGATTATTTTTTTTTCCCTCTAAGAACATGCGAAACATGACTACTTAATTGTGTGAATGTCTAATTATAGTATTTACTGCTTTTGTTTACTACTTGTATTGCAGTGAAAGATACGAGTTTTAAGCACAGTTTGTAAAATTAAAGTGCAAAATTTGGTATGCAGTAATGACAGAAAATCTCCAGTCTATCTAAAACTGTTCTGTATGTTTATGGAGCGTTATAATTTTTTGCAGAGTATGTTTACAATGTTCCTAAAAATAACAATAATAGAAATCCATGACTGAACTTCTATTTTTTTGTGTGCTGATGAAAAGCACTTCTACATGAAACAAGCACTTTGGTAGAGTGAAATCTGGAAAGTTTAGATGAAGTCCTGTTTGCAGCTCAAACACTAGCAAATCGGGTGTTTGTAGTAGTTTTGTCAGTTCTAGGTTGGACTCTTGGGAACTGAAGAAGCAGAGAGCAGATTTTTATTTTTCTCCCTTACTTTCACCCCTCTGACTTCCTGACTAAGTATAAGGAGGTTAAAAAAATGAAAGAAATGTCTTTTGAGTTAATGTAGGTAATAAGTTGTGTTTTCCCCAGTGTTAGGCTGTAGTTAAGGGATAAGCAGATTTGTTTCTTGTTTGTTAGAAGAATAACATGTTCGAAGAAAGTAGTTCTTAGCTGAAAAAAGAGTTCTTGTGAAGAGGGGAAAAAAAAAACAAGGAATAATGAATTCTGATTTTTGTTTGTGGTTTTTTTTTGTTTTGTTTTGGTTTTTTTTTTTTTAAATAGCTGCCTTTTTGTGCTCCAGTCGTCTTAGCCCAGTCTGTTGAAAATGTATGGACTACTTGCAGGATCAACAAACAGAAACGGCACTTATTGGAGGCTCTGTGGCTCAGCTGTGGTGGGGCAGGTATGAAAGTCTGGCTTCCCCTGTTTCCCAGAGATCATCGAAAACCGCATTCCTTTCTGTCAAGACGGATCATGCTGCCTTTCCACATCAACATATACCCATTGGCTGTTTTGTTTGAAGATGCCTTGGTTCTTGGTGCTGTTAATGATACTGTGCTCTATGACTGTTTGTACACTCAAACCAGTGCTAGAGAACACTTAGAGGTTCTCTTTCCTTTCTGCATTGTTGAGAGAACCTCTCAGATCTACCTCCATCACATTTTACGCCAGCTCTTGGTTAGGAACCTCGGTGAACAAGCCTTGCTTTTGGCCCACTCCTGTGCCGCATTACCATACTTTCCTCACGTACTAGAACTGATGCTTCATGAAGTGCTGGAAGAAGAAGCTACCTCGCGGGAACCCATTCCCGACCCTCTGCTTCCCACTGTGGCAAAGTTCATTACAGAGTTCCCCCTCTTCCTGCAGACAGTTGTTCATTGTGCTAGGAAGACAGAATATGCCCTGTGGAATTACCTTTTTGCTGCTGTTGGAAACCCAAAGGACTTATTTGAAGAGTGCTTAATGGCCCAGGACTTGGATACAGCTGCCTCTTATCTTATTATCCTACAGGTAATCGTACCTTATATATTGCAAGAGAGGTAATATTTACTAATGTTGTAGTATTTAAAAACCATTTAATTTAACAGTTTTCTGTTGAGATTATGTCCAGTTTTGAAGGGGAGGAATATCATGCAATGTAAGTATTTAGTTTACTGTTGTAAAGAGGCAAATAATAGCATGAAATTTGCTGCTTCTAATCTCTGGTATACTTGAACATGACATGATGTGGATTGACTTAAGAGGACTTTCATTGCTTGATGGCAAAAGCAAATGACTTAATTATGTTTTGTTACTTGCAGAATATGGAAGTTCCAGCAGTTAGCAGACAACATGCTACTCTCCTATTTAATACTGCCTTAGAGCAGGGAAAGTGGGATCTTTGTCGTCATATGATCAGATTTCTTAAAGCCATTGGCTCTGGAGAAACAGAGACGCCTCCAGCTACACCAACAACTCAGGTTCGTGATAGGAATAGTAAATACTGTGCATTAAACCTTGTACGATTAATCTTGCTATTATATAGCTTGTTTGCTCCTTTAATTGTATGTTTCGGTTTTCTTGGTTTTAGGAACCTAGTTCAAGTAGTGGCTTTGAGTTCTTCAGACATCGCAGCATTAGTTTATCCCAATCAGCAGAGAATCTCCATAGCAAATTTAACTTGACAAAAACACTGAGTATGCCCTCTGGCCCATCTGGAAAAAGGTAATTAGTAGTAATGTCCTCTCCTTCCCCACTTTGTTAGGTATCGTACTAACTACCAATTTAAGTTATAGAAGTACATTGTATGATAGAGTTAGATTTGTCATAGTCTCCCTCCACGTCCTTCTGCATTTGTCTTTTCCTGCCTCTCATAATGTCTGTGTCTCTCTTGTGTTCTTGGGAGAATATATTCTCACACGTTAATGTATGCGTGTATGTGTATTTGTATGTATATATACACAGGCACATGGATATTGCTGACCAATAACCTCTGAATCTGAATATGTAGTAATTTAAATAGCCAGTGAGACCACATCCCTTATATTTGAAGGATCTCTTTTGCTGAAATACACATCTTGAACTGCTCACAGTACTGCAGCATCATAGTATACATTGCACTGTGACACATTTTGATGTAGCAGTGTGTTGCCAAGCCATAAATAGAGCCTTTTACACCTTGGGGTGAATCCCTTTTAAACTGCTGTATACAGAATTCATATTGATCGGTATTAATGTTGAGAAGCAGCACTGAGCTGGGATTCATTATTATCTTGGTTTTGGCTTTTTTCCCCATACAAGACCTTCAAAACATTCTTAGTACAAATTCAAATGCTTTTGTTTAGTAATTTTCCATAGAAGGTCCTATCTTAAGGGTTTTGATAGGAAGGGTCCTAGACTAATACTTCATTTGTTCTCTAAACTTGTTTCTCAGAAGTCACTTTGCAATGGCATCTGCCTTTTATTGTTCCTTCTTTACTTCTTTTCCGCATTGCTAATAGTTTAATACTCTATGGCCACTGCTGCTGTTGTAACTTCCTTCCCTTATTTCACTTACTTTTCGAGGCAGTTGGATCGTTTAGAGAACATAAATAGCAAAGAATGGTGGAAACTGCTTTTGTTGATATACAGAAAGCTCCCACCACTACTCTGGTCACTTGATGTACTATGGTTGTAGCCAACAGCCTTTACAACTCCATTTTATCAGTCTTAATGTCACTGTTCTCTGGTTTGTCTATAGGTGGAGTAGAGACAGTGACTGTGCTGAGAACATGTACATTGACATGATGCTCTGGCGGCATGCTCGGCGTCTGCTAGAAGAAATCAAGCTGAAAGACCTTGGCTGCTTTGCTGCGCAGTTAGGCTTTGAGCTGATTGGTTGGCTGTGCAAGGAGCGAGCCCGAGCTGCCCGCGTGGAGGATTTTGTGTATGCTTTGAAAAAGCTACACAAGGATTTCCTCTGGCCATTTCCAGTCATACCGGTTTCGTCCATTAATTCACCTTTCAAGAATGGAAAGTACAAGACAGGTGCTGTAACATCTGAATTGATTTGGACTAGGTTTCCTTCCTGCAGTGCTACACCCATCAGTCTGAATCTGTCCTTCCTCAGTTCAGCCAAGCAGAGAACAGGCTGAGGCTTGCCACCTGCACAGCTTTCTCACACAGGGTGTGTTTTTTGAAGAGATTCTGTTTAGCACAGGCACCATCTCTTGTGTAGTCTGATTACACTACTGTTTCTGTTGAGTCTTCTTGCTTTCTCAGGTGTACTGAACTAGGTATCACTTGTGCAGATGTTGAGTTGAACGTGGGTATTGCTCTTTGATGTAAATTCTGCTACAGAAAATTACCAAAATCAACATTCTCAGATAGTCTTTAGACAAGGTTTTGATTAACTTTTCTAAATTTAAAAAAGTAATGTTCCCAATATTTGAAATTTGCTTTATGTTAAAGGGTGAGAAGTTTGAGGACTTGCTGCAAACCTCCTTTGTATTATTAATCTCTCAGTTCACCAGTTTGCCTGTTTAGGGCAAAGTTGATACTAGCTGCCAAGTATTCCTCTTTTTGGTAGTAGCAGCACTATTATTTAGTTCTATTGATGCTAACACTTTATCACCTGGTATTTCTTTTACACCAGTGCTGACATAAAGAGCTGATCAGAAATCCCTGAAATACTTAAACTTGCTGCATTTCCTTGCTGTTGGTTATCCCTCAACAAATTGAATATTGGCTTAGATGCAAGTTTTAGCTTCCTGAAATGCCCTTAGAGAACTTAACAAATTTTCTTGTGATAGTTGCATGACTTTTCTTTGGTGGGTTCTCTTGTTTTAGCCATGGGGGAGCAGCTGCTAAAATCTCGGTCTGCAGACACCTTTGTAAACATGGAAATGGACACAGGGGTTTCAAACACACCTCGGAGTCGCAGTTGGCTTGGCACTATCAGCTCCTCTCAGAGAGAGATTGACACAGTTTCATCCCATGGACCGCACATGCAAGACGCATTCCTTTCTCCTTTGCTAAGTAAAGGTTAGTCACTCTTCCTTCTGTCAGCTCGTTGGAAAAATGCACCTGGAAGTACGCACTTACATTTTGGTATTTGCATGCCACTGCTGTATTGGTGCTTCTCAACTGCAGATAACCATAATTCACAAAAAAAAAGTACTCTTTGAAAAATGAACTGAATTTTTTACAACAGAAAGATAATGCCCATGTTGTACATCTTTAAGTATGTGAACATGAAATTGCTATTTGCTGCAGTTCCTGTCTGTGGTGGTAACTTGAAATTTAGTATTTTTACAGTCTGGCTGGGAAGAGTGTTCTAAGTTTTTTATCTTTTGTCTCTTGCACGGGTTGGCCTCTTGCACAGGTTGGCACTGTTCTAATCCATGAACTTTGTGCTTTTGGATTTCTTTAGAAACACATTAGATGCATTCCTTATTGAGGCAGTTGAGGAAATTATAGTCCCATATTGTTTTCTTTTTTCCTATGGCTTTCTTTAAATCGCTCTTCTAAAAGCTCAGATGTATGATCAGCTTATGAAAATACGAAGGGGAATTTTGTTCTCTATGCATCTTTTCTGACCACAGTCAGAGACAGGAAATGTTTGACCATTCGTATCTTTTTTACTCTGTCATCCTCAAGAGTAGAGCAACATTTTCAACAGTGTCTACATCATGTGATTTCCACTTTATTAGGGGAAGACTTCAGTACCTAAGGGTACTGAACTACAATCTCGCCAAGATGCTGGGGCCTCCTGTGAGAGTCAGAGCACTTGGAGCTGCTATTTAACAAATTGTCAGGCTTTAAAAAATGAAGACAGAGTGAGGTTCCCTCCCCCTGCTTGGGCACTGTCTCGTTCTATTTTTACTCCTGTTTCTCTTGTTTATTACTTCCGGAGACAGCAAGAATGCATTAGGTTTAAGTAAGTTTGTTATAGAACTCTCAAAAAAAGCATAATCAGGAAAATCTATTTCTCTTTTCATTGAATTATCTTGTACTGCTGTCTGCCACGACTGCTGTTTCTGTAGAACATATCTGACTTTTTTCTGAGCTGGGTGAAGACCTTTGAGTTCAGTGGACTTTGGTATGGATTTTGAAGCAGTTTATTTCTAAAGTGAAACTAAATTAATAGTCTTTAAAACATTGTGAGCTGAATTCTAATAATAATGATTTCACAAATAACTAATCCAGCAGTGGTATTCATGGGCAAGAAGCTAATGAGGTAATTTTCTGACTTTCGAAACATTTTCCACAGAAAAGATGCATCTACTTTAATATGAAACTGTTCTGGAGGATGCATGCCTTCAAGACTCACCACTATAATAGTTTTAGCTTTGCTGTTACTGTTCCTGTGAAAATTCTGTCGCTATATCTACTCCTCATGTTTTTATTAGAAGCACTTCTTTTTGTAATTTGTGCTGGTAAATATTTATATTACCACGTATTCAGAATCTTCAGAGTTTTGGATGAAGAAAATAACTTGCTATTGCATCTTCATTTTTAACAAAGGTTAAGAAAGCAGTACCTTTAGACAGACTGCAGCCCTTCCTACAGACTTAATTCTAGGACTATAGTATGTAAGAGGCTGACACTGTAGTCTTATAATGATTGCTGACACAACTTTAGGATCCCTTATTGATATTATTCTGCAGAATTATTTTTGGTAGAAAAACTGCTGCATTCCGGCAGTAATAGTTCTGCCATATAGTGTGATGAGAAGAATGCTGAAGTGGACAGCATGCCTGAAGCAACTTCTTAGCACTGTGATACATGGCAAAGCATTACTGTGTAATTTGTCAATTTCTATAGGATGTAGTTCAGAAATTCAGTCTTACTAAAGTAAGTAGTTTCTTTTTCCCTTATGTTTCTGAGTGTTTTCGATAGGTGACGAATGCAGCATTGGTTCAGCAACGGACCTGACTGAAACGAGTTCTATGGTGGATGGTGACTGGACCATGGTGGATGAAAACTTCTCCAGTCTAAGTTTAACTCAGTCAGAGCTTGAACATCTCTCTCTAGAACTGGTTAGTAAAGGGCCGCACAAGTCACAGGTCCAGCTGCGGTAAGTAATGTAATTTTTGCATTCTGAAACTTAAAATTACTTGTATGCAGCATTAGGAGAAAGAAATACTGTCTACAGAATCACACTGGGATTTTGTCTTCAGAGTGGAAAAACTTAAGTAGGCTGTTTTTCCATATAGGTACTTGCTACATATCTTCATGGAAGCAGGATGTCTGGATTGGTGTATTATCATAGGCCTTATCCTCAGAGAATCTTCAGTAATCAACCAGGTTTTCAGTATAATGCAATCCTCTGATATTGATGGAGAAATCTGTCAGAATATCAAGACTGGCCTATATGCTGTTGACAAATGGGCTTCTACAGATTGGTAAGTGTTATTTTCCACCTTCATTATCATTCCAGTTGTAGATAATTAGTTACCTAAAAAATAACTTTGAGTTATCTCAGCCTTAGTTGAAACAATTACTTAAAAGCACTTTTGCAGAAAATTTCAGGACAGTCACTTAATAGTTGAAGTCAACTGGAAAAAAAAACAGCAAACCAAACCCAAAACAATCAACGCCCCAACTTTCATTGTTTGATTATGGTTGCCTTTTTCCCTCTGTTTACAAAAAAAAAAAGAGTTTCTGTACAGGAAGGATTATAGAAGATACTAATTGATATTAAACATCTCCCAAGAAAAGCTGCTTTTCAGGCATATGATAGAAGAACTATTTTTTAATTCACTCATGGTGTTCTATACCATTTTTTTCCTAGCCCTGGGTACAAGCCATTTCTAAATATCATCAGGCCACAGATCCAGAAACTAAGTGAAATAGCAGAAGAGCAAGTACAGCCTGAAGCTTTTCAGCCAGTGAATCCTTGTAAGGTTACCGAACAAGCGAACCCCAGAGCTGAGGAAAGCAGGACTTTATCTAGCCATGGCACTAATCCTCAGAGTGATGCTGCCAACAGCAATGCAAGCAGGCATGAAGAGGACAAGTCTAAGACAGAGGATGAGGATTCATTCCAAGAAGGCAGTTATGACTGTATTGTGTCTTAAATGGAAGGTGCACAACTTCCCAAGCATCAGGTGTGAAAGGAAGCAAACCAGCTCTTAGACATGCTTCCATGTTTTGGATTTGAACTCTTCTTTTTTTTTTTTAATTTTTTTTATATTTCAATCTTTGAAATCTTTAGTGGGGATAACTAAGCAGCAGTTTCATCTAATAATTTCAAAAGGAGGCAAGATATTTTTTTTTATGTAATCTTCAGACTCCAGCTTTAGGTTTTGAGTGTTGAGAGACAGTGAATAACATATGGAGACAGCTTCAGCTAATGTTCATCAGTACCTTTACATCACCAACACGTTCTGAAGAAATTACTTATCTCTTGCTTGAGTTTAAAAGGTGAAGCGGGGATTAAATTTTAAAACTGTTATTCTTTGCAGCTTGCCTGCCTAAGAAATGTCTGATCAATGCAGTTCAGATTGGTTTCATATTGATATTTTGTATTAAAGGACTGTAAAATATATGTTTTTGTGAATACTCTTGTACAAATACTCAAGGTTGTACCACATTTGAAGGTACCTATATGTATTGTGCATGTTTCTAGATGACTAGTAAAGTTAAAGCGGAGTTGCACTTCTTTCTGGATGAGGCATACTTTACTGACCTAACATTGACACGAGGTGGCTTACCTGTTTTTTACTGCCACTTACAGATCTTGTAGTTGGGTTTAAGGGATTGCTGAAGGTTATTTATTTCATTGTAAATTCTTTTCTGAAAAATGGATTTTTAAAATGTAAATAATCATCATATACTCTTGCTATGGAAAATTAGTTTAACAGCTCATACTTAAACATTTTTCAAACATTTTATAATATGCATACTTGTAACTGAGACATATTTAACTTTCATACAATGTTATGGAAAGCTGGCTGCAGAAGTCTGTTGCTTTGAGGTACTTATTTTTTCTAGCTGCTGTCCCTATGTAATAACTACCTGTAACAGTATTAATTTAGATATTAGCTTGTTTGTACTGTGCAATCTGAACAAAAATGCAACATTACTCATTTTATACAAAATAAACTAGTTTATTTTTTATAACATCACTTGATTACTGACATGGACCAAACTAGACATCATAGGGTAGTTACAGCATCTATTGCTTTGGTAGTGTAGTTACTGAATGCACACCCATTTAAACTCTGAAAATTAAGAATATTCACAATTAAGTTGAAATAAATTGTGGTTTTATCATCTTTATTTCCTTTGTAGATAAGATCAAGTGCTTTAAAAAGTATTAAACTGTTGCTTTAGAATGGCTTTACTAAGCCAATACAACCAGTACAAGTGCAATAATTGCAAGTATTACTTGGAAAGCTGGAGACTTAAATGAAAATTCAAGCTGCATTCACTAAAGAGTTGAAACTAATATTGAAGTTATAGGAAGGAAATCTGGCTCACGAGTCCCAGCATTAAGCTTAGTCTGCATTGTAGCTACTGGTTACAGAAAACGTCTATCATGCCTACAAACCTGTTGTGATTCATTATTGTTATAAGGGGATACTTAAAGCTTTTTTATGATAAAAAAACCTACTTAATCTATGTTAAAAGAAATAAAAACTGTGCTTCAAGTTAGTATTTTTCTGTGGTTCTGTGGTAATGATGTAAGCCAAGCCCATCCTGATCAGTTTTCTGCTGTTCAGGCTGTGGATCTGTACAAGTAAAAACATACATTGACTGATATACTAACATTCTTAATATTATTATCTTACTACTGTGCTACTGTTGTTTAGCAGTTACATCTTTTTAGTTGTGAAATTCTGGAAGTTTGTACTTCTTTAGTAGTAATTATTTCTATGCAAATCTTATGTCCTAATTTTGTATTTCAATTTCACTGCTCTTATACCCATAATTAAAAGACAAACGTATTCAACTTTACTTAAAGTTATCTTCCACAGGAGTAACTATTTCTGATTTCAAGCCATTGACAGTAAATTACCAGAATTCAAGTAGGTTGTCTCAAGGAAACAAAGCTCTAAAACTACCCAATGAAAATTGTTTGTCTGCCACACCATACCACTATAGCTTGTTTTACAGGGTGACAGTATCAAGCTTCTAAGTTAAAAATTACCTTATTACTGCATCTTTGAAGTTACACCCACCTGTTGTTTTGAAAAGATGTGTATTGGGTTTAGGTGGCAAGGGCGTGGTAGAAAGGGAGGCTGCAGGGGTGGCCTTGGTGAAGAGAGCCCAGGAGCTGCCTCTGTGTCAGACCTACCATGGGACACAGCTGAACCTGTCAGCCAAGCTAGTGCCTCTTCTCTGTAATGTATTTACCAACAGTAAAAAAATGCTGTGCGGTAGCTATGAGAGAGAGAGAGGAGTGAGGGGGAAAAAAGCCTTGAACAACAGTCCTGCAGATGGCCAGGGCCATAAAGGGGGAGCCAGGAGGAGGTGCTCCAGGCACTGAAACAGAGATCCTCTGCAGCCTGTGCATCTGTACAAGTAAACACATACATTAATTGATACACTAACATTGTTAATATTAGTGTCTTACTACTGTGCTACTGTTATTTAGCAGTTACATCTTTTAGACCATGGTGAAGCAGGCTGTGCCCCTGCAACCTGTTGTGGAGCACATCAGAGCAGATAGTGTAGCCTGTGGAGGACCTCACATCAGAGCAGGTGGATGTGCTTTGTAGGAAGCTGCACTCGTGGAGAGCACACACACAGGAGCAGGTTTTCTGGCAGGAACTGTGGCCCATGAGGGATCTATGCTGGAACAGTCTGTTCCTAAAGGACTGCCCCATCAAGAGGAGGATCCACACTGCAGTTCGTGAGACTATCCCATGGGAGAAACCCTGTGCTGGAGCAGAAGAACGTGAGGAGGAAGGAGCAGCAGAGAGAAACTGTTATGGCCTGACCCTCCCCAATCTCTCTGCAGCATTGTGGAAGAGGAGGTAGAAGAGTGAAGTTGACTCTGGGAAGAAAAGGGAGGTTGGGGGAAGGTACTTTTAGTTTTATCTTTCTCTTTGTTTGTTGCTATCCTTTACTTTTAATTGGCAATAAATTAAATTAATTTTCCCCAAGGCCAGTTTGTTTTGCCTCTTATGGTAACCAGTGAATACTCTCCCTGACTCAGCCCATCAGCTTTTTCATCTTACTTTCTCCTCCTGACCTGCTGAGGAGAGGGGATGAGAGCACAGTTTGGTGGGTACCTGACAGCCAGCTGAAGTTAACCCACCACAAAATGTTTATTCATCTACAAATATGCACTATTACCTCAACCTAAATATAGGAAAACTGGACTATTTAACCACTTGAGGGTGAACATTTTCTATGGAATTCCAACTCCTTGTCCTCTCACTTTGCTTATCCAGCTCACATAAAACTGGCTGCCCTGGTTCTTGCCAGCCTGGCCTACTTAAGTGTTTAGCATTTAATGGCATAGAAAGATGTCTGATTTCCTCCCTCACCAGGATTTGCACATCATCAAGTTTTCTTGCTGTAGTTCTCATCCTGTACAGAACTAATTGCCTCTGAAAAACAGCAACAATGGTGGATTCCTTGCTACCCCTTAAAAAAAAAATCCTCTCACACTTGCAAAACTGCTTGAGTCCAGTCACATTTCTGAAGATAATTTTCACCATCACTTGTCAACCAAAGTCAGCTAATTTTTCACTAGTGTTTTTTAGTCCAAAGCAACCAATTTAAATGGTTTTTAGAGCTGGTGTCTGTAAGCTATAGGTTAAGGTCCAATGCTAAGTAAACAGAAATACATGAATGCATAATCTAGCCAGAACCTGTACAAAGGAGGTTTTAATTTAATTACAAACTGAGGGGAGAAGATACAATGATATTCTAAAAGATGATGGGTAACTTGAGGGTGGTAAGCTGGCTTCAACCAAAGTAAGGAGGGCCCTCAAGAAAAAAAAAGGCCACAGACCCAACTTACTGTCTCCTCTTAGTTTCCTATCCTAGAGCTGAAGACTGTTCAGATATTCTAGTTGGCGGCAAGATGAATGCCAGTTTATGGTGAGTCGCAAAAGTAGTCGCAGAGCTTAAAGAAAAGGGAGAGTGTTCTTGTACCACTCTGAAAGATACAACCTGCTCTTGATGAGTTTGCTATTTATCATGTAACACCTGAAAGAAGTAAAGTCAAGAAGTTTCCTACCAGAGAGCACTGAGGAGACTTCACAAAAGGCCACAACTGGAGGCTGAAGCTAGCTGAACAGTTCAGACATAAGAAAAAAGTAACTTTTTTAAAATTACTGTTTCCTATCAAAAAAGAAACATCCCTCCACCACATCCAGAAAAAGCAACATCCTGGAATAAACCATGCATGGGCAGCTTTCTAAGACAGTTACTTAAATTCACCTTTACATATTGGCTTTGAATCTTGTATTTGTTCTACAATTTCAGACCAGACTGACAGAATTACTCTTTTCTAGACAAACTACTACTAACTTTCAAGACTGATTCTTACAGCTTTCTGAAACTGAAATTTTTTTAGTAACCATTTTGTTAATGGCCAGTGATGCCTGACACCCTACTTGAAATACAGGTAGCAGTGGCTAAATCTCCCTAAATTGGCTTTACTTCCTGCTCAAGTTTCAGTGTTATCCTTGGCATGTTCTCAAGCTGCATCTGCAGCTTTGACAGAACCATAAAGTGGCCCAAGAGAACCTCTTCTGCAGTGAACACGTAAGCCTAACTAATTTGCAGGACTAATTTATCCTCCAAGACTGGAACAGATTTTCATGAAGACAGAATCCATGTTCTATCATCTTCAAAACAGGAGTCACACAACATCATGTTGTCTAACCACACAGCTTTGTGACAGCACTTAGGGTTATTGATCTTGCATGGCTTTTTAACTATCCTTCACTAAGACCACATATGGTTCTAAAGTGGCTTATCCTGCAGGCTCCTTCCAGATTATTATCAAGAACCAGATTAGGTTTAGTCCACAAGGAAAAAAGTACTGAACAGCATTACCATGCAGATGAACTCTTCAGCAGCTATGTTCCATATGCTACTTTTAGCTCTGTATAGA